CAGAGCATGGACCAGCCCAAACGGGGGAGTCCACTCTCACAGTATGTAGAGAGCAGATAGATGTTGGATGCAAACATATTGTGTGGATTATTTCGTCTATGTGTTTATAAGGAAACATTTTTATTGGCGTGTCAATGGGTTGCAGGTTTGTCTTTGGAAGAAGTTGCTGAGTAGACTTCGAGCCAGTAGAGTGAGTTAGTGGAAGAGACTCCAAGACTGTTGAAGGAGTAGTGTACTCTGAGGAAGAGTAGCCCCCAGAGTGAAGAGTAGGACCTCGAGCTGTGAGGAGAAGCAGTGAAGAGGAGTGTCACGTGCTTCTGTAATACCAGTAGTGGAAACTCCAGTGCTGTTCAAGGAAACTTCATGGTGTAGCAGCCTGGAAGAGCTGTATATGATCCTAGTAGATAAACCCGGAAGAACCTGAAGATATCAGGGTAGTGAACTTCCAGATGTGGAAGGGACGTTCTAGTTGATTACTTATAGGGAGTTGGTAGAGTGTTTGGTTGTCATTAGCGTGCAAGACACAGTGAAAGGTGAGTGATTGCCATTTTTGTGCCAAGGAGTACTTATACTGAAGTATAGAGTTACAGTCTAAGGCTGGATTACCTACAGAGACATACATATGTGTTCTAGGACTGATAGGGTGATCGATTGATCATTGTTGTATACCAAGTGACATTTTTACTAATATTTATGTTATTGCATTCATATGCTGGTTTTCCTTGCACATGTTTATAGATATATATTCTCTTGCTGATAGTGCAACATTGTGTTATAAGACTTGACCTACTTGAGGAGGTAGGTAGTATTAGGTGGTGAATCAGGAGATAGGATACCACTTGATAAGCTGATGATAGAGTTCTGATGGTGTTGGAGTGCAACCTGACTGAAATAGTATAGAGTGTAGGATTCATTATTATTATTATTATATGTGTGTATGTATTGTGTATGTGCTTTGTCCAGTAAATGTATTCAAATTTGCTGGTGTTTGCCCTTGTCCTAGTGAGGCTTCCCAGGAAGTAGGAAAGAAGGAGAGAGAGAGAAAAAGAACCAAGAACCACAGCTGTGGGTAGGGTAGAACGGAAAACTAATAAGTCAAAAGGGATTAAGGAGATCGTTTCACATAAGGAGAGAGTGGAGAGTCACAGCGGCTCGAGTGGGTGTGTGCACGTGACAACGAGTCTAAGTACTGGAGCCGCATCCCCTAAATGTGTGACGTTGAGCCCCTCTCCAAGAGCCAGAAGCGCCCAGGGTGATCTCCTGGTAAAGTATAAGCACTCTACCGAGTTTTGGGGTTGGGTTGTCTATAAAGAAGGATCAACGACACCCCACCCAACCGCGATATCTGCTACCAGAAATTTTAGCCAAATATCCCCAGTTTGCTAACTGTAAGTAGTAACTAAGTGACTGTAATCTATCCACCGCTGCCCACTGGATGGGGGGGGGGGCGGTGTGCAGGACAAGCATATCAATTGTGACACTAGCTCTCCACTTATGTCAGTTGCTTAATTTAGAAACTGTACTTGTGGTCGATCTCGAACCCATTGTTGGCGTGACGATGTGCATTGGACTTTGTAACTAGCTCATCAAGATCGTAACTTGCGTAGCTAAATGAATTGTGGGGTTCAGTCCCTGAGCCTATTATGTGCCTCTGTAACCCTTTCCACTACCACCTACAAGATGGGTATGGGGTGCATAATAAATGAACTCTACTAACGCTACCATTTTCTGGTACGAGAATTTTTGGCTGTATTAGGAGGACGGGTTGCAGCATGTCCTTGACTTCCTCTCCACCAGTGAGGGACGAATGTGTCAGCAACTCTACATTGTAACGAGTGGGGATGGTGGCAGCACATTAACATCAGTCAGTGGTTTTATATAATTATCCTTTTTGGTACATAATAGTCAGATAGCTGTATGTAGGGTTGGTTGATCTTACACTCACATGTAACAGGCTGACGGGTTGTCTCCCTATCAGGGTGGAGCGGGGTCCATCTCCATGCTGTATATATTTGCTGTTAAGGATAATTATAAATATTACAAATTACTGTAGGTAAGATGGACATCATAATAAAGAATAAGAGCGGTGATGACCAGTATCAGTCATTACAATGGTTATTACACCAGTACGGGTCAGATGGTGAGCTGTATTACGGTGCCCTCTGCTATATCTTCCTTTATCCATCGAGAAGAGTCATATCTACACACACTGCAGGTTCCATGAGATGCAGGGATCCGTTTGACATAGGTGACTGATAGCAAGAGTACTTATTCGGGTATAAAATTGTTATTTTAGTTTTGGCTTGTAAGGGGGTTTACGCCCCTAGTGCATACAAAATGGCGCCAAAAACGTGAAGACGCCAGCAGGCTGGCGATTGGCTGGCTGTGGTCATGTGACGAGAGTGACCAATGAGAGCCCCCCTCTGGGTCTGTGACGTTACCAGGAGGCAGGACTGGGAGGTCGCAGAGCGCCTGGCACTGAAAGATTCACGGCACTTCGTTGAGAGCGGACGTGCGCTGATTGAGCTCTCGAGTAACACAGCCTGACACCTTCACAGTGACTACAGAACACTACAACATTTCAGGGAAGTGCGAGGAAACAGAGTTCCAGCAGTGTAAGGGCACCGAGGACTGTGAGCTGATAGTCTTGGAGGAGTGGAGAGAGTGGCGATGGCAGGATTATTGAGTGGCTTGCCACCAGCGGAACTCCGAGGTACTCGGAGCTGTTGTGATTGGATCACGCCCACTAGGAACTCAGAAGGGAGAAGTCTCATCCGGATGCATGAGTATTTGGTCTCGGTGAAGGGGCGATTGAGGGAGATGACGTGAGCAGTGACAACTGGGTGAGCCAGCGATCAGGAACTGCACATTCGAGTGTGAGCACGGAGACAATGCGCAGCTTCACAACGCTTAGGGACCTGTAACTCAACCGGAACGCCAAGGAACGATGTGAGGGACCGAGGACCACGACGACGACCATATGAGTCCAGGCGTCTGAGGGCAGGATGTGTTAAAGTTAGATCATTATTCCCTCCCATTTTCCCTTGATAATTAGGCAAGATAGGCCTAGTAATATATGTAGGTACTTGCTAGAATGTTTCTAGATATTATGGAAGTAGATTAGGCTGTAGGGCAACACGTATATGTTATCTACTGCCTGATGAAGACAGCGAGTGGCAGAGTCGGGAGGACTGTGGATCTACACAGACGGAGTCGTCCCCCAGTGAGGGGCCAGAGATCCCTGTAAACTCGCCCAGCTGATGCGAGTTGCGAGCGGCCACCAGAGGAGCGCTGCTGTCACCATCATATATTTACATTAATATTCATGCATATATATCTCTCATGTGTTTGTAGTTTGCTCTTAAGCAAACTATTATTTTATCATTGTTTTTATGTGTCTCCTCCATCCCTCTTTGAGCATAGTGACTGAATGATATTTGATTACACCACACTTAACTGACATTATATAGAAAAGAGACCCTTCGCTGGCAACACGGTATTACATTTGAAATAAAAGCGTTGCTGGGATGCAGAGAAGATTACCCAGCTGGTGACTGGAAAATAAGAGGTGAGAACTAAGTTAACGGCCGGAGGTCTGGCAAAACTTTGTATGTGTGGGTGGGCAGGCCCGGTGGGGGTGTTGCAAATTGCAGGATCAAGCTCGAGCAGTGTGCTGGGCCTTCTCCTCTCCCCCTTAGGTCCAAGGTTAAAAAGTGGCGACCGGACTTGAGGCATGACTTGGAGAGCTCCCTGGGTGTGGTCAATGGTAACCCAGTAGAGGGAGTGATGACCCGCGGCGTGGGGTTACAGGATCATTAGCATACACCTTCGCTGTTTAACTGAAACTCCCATAACACAAGGCCAAGATGAGCGACGCGTGACAGCTGTCACCATTAAGAAGTTAGTGTTCATTGAGCAGCTGGCAATGGTCAATATACATGGTGATATACACGAGTCATTTGTAAGTAACTTGTGTATAATATTCATATACTGGGTTTATGATGGTTAACGTTAAGTATAAGTAATTAATGAGAAAAATAGGTGAATTATTCATATACAAATATTGACAATAATTATAATAATTAAGGGTAAGAGACAAGGGTACAAAATGTTGTGAACAAAAATAAGGAAAATAACTAGCAATAGCGCAGGGTATTGGGCACTATTTTCAGCTTGGCACTGTGTTAACAATATCTGAAAATACTTAAATTAATTTGTCATATTGTGGTGAAAATATAAACTATACTATATGTTGTGCTTTGTAGTATATCTGTTTAAAGAACTTCAAGTAGGGAAAGATAATATGGGATGTGTTCACTCGTGTACTGCAGTCCTAGTCGTGTTGTCAGAGGTGGGGCTCCAGCGCCACACGTCCTAGTTGTGTTGTCAGAGGTGGGGCTCCAGCGTCACACGTCCTAGTCGTGTTGTCAGAGGTGGGACTCCAGCGCCACACGTCCTAGTCGTGTTGTCAGAGGTGGGACTCCAGCACCACACGTCCTAGTCGTGTTGTCAGAGATGGGACTCCAGCGCCACACATCCTAGTCGTGTTGTCAGAGGTGGGACTCCAGCGCCACACGTCCTAGTCGTGTTGTCAGAGGTGGGACTCCAGCACCACACGTCCTAGTCGTGTTGTCAGAGATGGGACTCCAGCGCCACACATCCTAGTCGTGTTGTCAGAGGTGGGACTCCAGCGCCACACGTCCTAGTCGTGTTGTCAGAGGTGGGGCTCCAGCACCACACGGCCTAGTTGTGTTGTCAGAGGTGGGACTCCAGCACCACACGTCCTAATCGTGTTGTCAGAGGTGGGACTCCAGCGCCACACATCCTAGTCGTGTTGTCAGAGGTGGGACTCCAGCGCCACACGTCCTAGTCGTGTTGTCAGAGGTGGGACTCCAGCACCACACATCCTAGTCGTGTTGTCAGAGGTGGGACTCCAGCACCACACATCCTAGTCGTGTTGTCAGAGGTGGGGCTCCATCACCACACGTCCTTGCCTGCGCATGTCCAAGCCAATGGAAGAGGACATCGTGGAGGACATTCTCCAGCTGGAGGAAGAGATGCACTTGGATGACACTGGAGGGACCGGCGCCGCCCAACTGCTACCACCTCGGCCTCAAGTTAAGCTTTGTGTAGGAGGTAATGTGTGCACGCCATCCATCTCCTGTCCACCACTGTACATACCGTCCACCTCCTGCCCACCATTTCATCCCATGAACAGCAAAGCCTGTCTCAGTAGTCCTGTGGCTTCGCTCCAACTGAAAGACAGACGAAGGAAACAAAGACGCAATGTGTTTGAGCGAAAGAGAAGGTGTATCATCAATGACAGAATACGGGAGCTTGCTGCCCTGCTGCCCAGCAGCAACGAACAGCATTATGACCTCATCTGTGACCTGCGACCCACCACTGGGCAAATCCTGGAAGCTTCTGTGAATTACATCCAGAGGCTCAAAGTGGACATGGAGCACCACAAGTTTATGGAAGCAGAGCGACTGGCGTTGGAGCGAGAGAACCAGCGGCTGCGTGTTCGGGTAGAGGAGCTGGAGGAGCGGCTGCGGCCAGGAGTCCCGGCGCCCCCGCCACACCACACACTCCCTCACCCTTCCTAAACTACTCAATAATGCTACAAAATTGCAAATCAAATCGGTATGCATTGTTATATTTTCAATTCATTCAGTTGTACATTTTCTTGTTTGCTCATTTGTTCAGTACTTGTGTGTGTACTTATACATGGGTATATATATATATATATATATATATATATATATATATATATATATATATATATATATATATATATATATATATATATATATATATATATCGTACCTAGTAGCCAGAACGCACTTCTCAGCCTACTATGCAAGGCCCGATTTGCCTAATAAGCCAAGTTTTCCTGAATTAATATATTTTTTGTGACGTTAAACTCTGAAAATAGAGCAGTGGCTATTCTGGCTGGTGTTGTGCCAATCACATTAAACATAAAAAAAGTAAAATAAAGTAAATAACACTGCTTGTGACCTCTACACTGTGAAAGCTGCGGGTAAAACAAAGAGAATAAACACTTAAAACATTTAATATAACAAAAATGACTTTAATAACAAACAAAACAAAGCCTCTTATCTACTTTGCGAAAACACAATATAAAATATAAAAGAAATATAAACACAGGTGTGTTATTACGTTAAGCAAAAAAATGCAAATTAATACTTTATACAAGAGCTGCCTGAGTCTACCGACACCCTGGGGAGTTGAGCTTGGAACAGATGTTGCAGCTTGGAACACGAAGAGTATTCTGAAGACTGGACGCCAGTGAGCTCCTTTTATATGGGCCAGACCAGCATAGATGGCGCTCATGTTGTGGGTAACCATCGGCCAGCAATTATACAAGCAGTTAGTGAGTGGTGCTGGATCTCTGCCCAGACAGCAGGTGTCCAGGTGTCTTGGGTACTAGAGGGTGGAGAGGAGTTGGTGTCTGTATAGACAATCAGCATGTATTGTTGTTGTTGATGTTGTTTCCTTATGTTGGAGCATGCAGATACCTTGGTGAACAGGCGGTAAAGGGAACAGGCAGGATCTTCTGCCTAAGCAGGAAATTACCATAACAAATTATATTGTTGTTGTCTTGCCTATATACTGGGTTTTTTGGAGCTTACAGTCCCCAAGAGGGCATTTGACGGCATAGACGACGTTGGTCTCTTTTAAAGCGTTCTGTTTTGTGTCTGGAGAGTTTCTCATGAGTAGGCTGGCCGTTTTTCTGGTTTTATAGTAAATCGTCAGTTGTATCCTCTGATTTTTGTCTGTAGGGATAACGTTTCTATTAACAATATCTTTCAGGACCCTTTCCTCCGTTTTATGAGCTGTGGAAAAGAAGTTCCTGTAAAATAGTCTAATAGGGGGTATAGGTGTTGTGTTGGTTGTCTCTTCAGAGGTTGCATGGCGTTTCACTTTCCTTCTTATGATGTTTTCGACGAAACCATTGGAGAAGCCGTTGTTGACTAGGACCTGCCTTACCCTACAGAGTTCTTCGTCGACTTGCTTCCATTCTGAGCTGTGGCTGAGAGCACGGTCGACATATGCGTTAACAACACTCCTCTTGTACCTATCTGGGCAGTCGCTTTTGGCATTTAGGCACATTCCTATGTTCGTTTCCTTAGTGTAGACTGCAGTGTGGAAACCTCCACTCTTTTCCATGACTTGTGATTGATTTTTGAATTACCACCAACAGTGAAAAGAAATGTACGAAAGATTGAGAAAATTCGTGTTAGAATTATTAATCTTACTTTTTCGGTCATATTTAATAATATATGTCTACAGGAAAGACTGCTACCAAAATATACTAATATATATATATATATATATATATATATATATATATATATATATATATATATATATATATATATATATATATATATATATATATATATATATATACACTTCCGACCTCCTTATCAAAAACAGTTGGAAGCCGACGGAGAACCCCCTACAGCAGACAAGGGTTGTATACATGTACACTTGCCCCCATGAAGAATATAACCATCAATCTAAGTACATGGGCATATTCGTCGACCAAGCTGACGAGGCGTTTGACATGTCATCTTCAATCCGGTGCCCCCAGGAATCACATGAGACAAGCCCATGACATCACCCTAACAAGAGAAATGTTGAACAAAAATACCTGTATAATAGACAAAACCCAAGATGTAAGAAGATTACAAATTCTTGAAGCAATTCACATAAGAATAGAACAACCTACCATGAACACCCAAATCACGGAACTATTCACTCTACCCACCATGAGAGGAAGGACTAGACCAGAACATAACGATGCCAACACAGAAGACACGGCTCAACGTAACAGGCCAATTACACCTGATTAATCTTTGTATGTGCTTCGTCCCTCATTTGTCCCTCATTTAACCCCTATTTATCCCCTTGCCTTTTCCTTTATTGTACTTGTTTTATCACCTGACCCCGTACTGGTATAAATTAACGAGTTTTGTATTTTCTTTTCACTTGAGAATGAACCATGGAGGTTCGAAACGTTGTACGATTTTATAATTAGTGTAATATATTCTTCAGTTGTTCAATTCTTTTCTTCACCTAAAAAAACTTGACTTTTGGTGAACTCCTCTTCAGCTGGACCCTGATGCAAGAGCATTAGTAAGAGGGATAGAAGCCCTAGATCAGAAAATAGTAAATACGAAATATGCTGTCATAAATAAATAAATAAATAAATAAATAAATAAATGTTTATTCAGGTAAGGTACATACATACAAGAGATTTTACAAAAAATTATAGATTTAAAGATAGAGCTAGTACATACAATGCCTAAAGCCACTATTACGCAAAGCTTTTCGGGCAGGAAAAACATTAAAGACTAAAACTTAATGCTAATTGAGTTTAAAGTATAAAATGTGTTGAGAACAAATAAAAATAAAAAAGGGGGGAGCAGGGCTGAAAAAGCAGCACAAATACAATTAGGTCGACAAACAGCGTTGTTTAAAAAAACAGACATGGGTTGACAATATAGGGGTAAGGTAGGTTACAGGGAATTTATTAGGTAGTGCTTTGTTTTACTTTTAAACTGGTTGAGAGAGGTACAGTCTTTAACATGGTTGGGAAGGTCATTCCACATTCTGGGTCCCTTGATTTGTAGAGCATTTCTAGTTTGATTAAGTCGTACTCTTGGAATATCAAAACTGTATTTGTTTCTGGTGTGGTGCTCATGGGTTCTGTTACAACCTTCTATGAAGCTTTTGATGTCAGGATTGGCATTACAGTTCAGCGTTTTATATATGTATAATACACATGAGAGAATGTGAAGTGACTTAATGTCTAACATATTCAGGGATTTGAGTAAGGGTACCGAGTGATGTCTGGGGCCAGAGTTGGATATTGTCCTAATAGTCATATTCAATGAGACATGTTTAAAAGAAAACCTGCTGCCAGTATACACCAATATATATATATATATATATATATATATATATATATATATATATATATATATATATATATATATATATATATATATATATTAAATATGACCGAAAGAGTAAGATTAATGACTCTAACATGAATCTTCTTAATATTTCTTATGTTTTTCTTCACTGTCGAGGGTGGTTGAAAGATTAACTTTTCAAAGTTAATTTTCACACTTTATTTATGGTCTGACGCCTAGAAGCGTTTCACAAGACACTTCTTACATTTTCAAAGACAATTTTACGTACTTTGTTTCATGCTTATATTCGTTTTTGGGTGAGGTGATAGGACACAAATGTTTTTGGGTGAGGTCATGGTGAGGTGAGGTTCCCAATTGGTTCCCTCAAGGTTTTGGGTGAGGTTCCCAACCATGCTAAAGACTGTACCTCTCTCAACCAGTTTAAGATAAAAACTAAGCACTACCTAATTAACTCCCTGTAACCTACCTTACCCCTATGTCAACCCATGTCTGTTATTTTTATACAATGCTTTTTGTCGACCAAATTGTATTTTTTGCTGTTTTTCTGCCATATTCCCCCCCTTTTTATTGTTATATTTTCTCAACACATTTTATACTTTAATCTCAATTAGTATTAAGTTTTAGTCTTAGTGTTTTTCCTGCCCGAAACGCTTTGCGTAATAGTGGCTTTAGGCATTGTATGTACTAGCTCTATCTATAAATCCATCAATGTTTGTATCACACCTTGTATGTATGTACTTTACCTGAATAAACATTTGAATTTTGAATTTTTTGAGGTGACAGTGTAATGATCTGTTGCACTGACCATAGCTTCCCCTCACAGACCCTTCCCCTCGTTTGCCGGCCCCTTCCTTGTTCATTCTCCCCCCTTCCCCGTTGCCTCATCCCTCCTGCCCTTTTGTCGAGCCGGCCTCACCGGTCATAAAACCATGGAGCCAAGAGGTCCCTGATGGCGGGACAGTCCCTCTCACTTGGCCCACTCCATCCCCACTCATTTCCCTCTCTACCCCCACTCTTTCCCTTCTCCTCTGCCTTCTCTATAGCCGTGGACAAGTTGGGGACCAATAAAATTTCAGTGCCATAAAACCGCATGTATTCTCAAATTTCTCTTGGGTGGCAGGGGCCAGATTCACGAAAGCACTTACGCTAGCACTTACGAACGTGTACATCTTTCCTCAATCTTTGACGGCTTTGGTTACATTTATTAAACAGTTTACAAGCATGAAAACTTGCCCATCAACTGTTGTTATTGTTATAAACAGCCTCCTGGTGCTTCGGAGCTCATTAACTGCTTTATAAGTGTCAACAAAGCCGCCAAAGATTGAGAAAAAATGTACAGGTTCGTAAGTGCTTTCATGAATCTAACCCCTGGTCACTCCTAGCTCGTTCACAGGAATCTGGTTGTATCTGCTTATTTCCAGATTCCGTGAGAAGATCGCCTCCGGGCAGTTGTCAGGCATTTCATTGGCCAAGAGCAGGGGCTTTTGTTTCATTGGTTAGGGGTGCCGGGGTACTGGCACCACTAACCAATGAAACAAAATCACTTGAGTCCAAGTGATTGGACTAAGTCTCAAGAGGCGGAATCCCTCAGGGTAGTGGCTGCACCCATTGGCCAAAGGACCAGTGATGGTTTGAAATGA